GATACAGACAGACACCTCAGCGTGTACAGATACAGACAGACACCTCAGCGTGTACAGATACAGACAGACACCTCAGCGTGTACAGATACAGACAGACACCTCAGCGTGTACAGATACAGACAGACACCTCAGCATGTGCAGCTACAGACAGACACCTCAGCATGTACAGATACAGACAGACACCTCAGCATGTACAGATACAGACAGACACCTCAGCATGTGCAGCTACAGACAGACACCTCAGCATGTACAGATACAGACATACACCTCAGCGTGTACAGATACAGACAGACACCTCAGCATGTACAGATACAGACAGACACCTCAGCGTGTACAGATACAGACAGACACCTCAGCGTGTACAGATACAGACAGACACCTCAGCGTGTACAGCTACAGACAGACACCTCAGCGTGTACAGATACAGACAGACACCTCAGCATGTACAGATACAGCCAGACACCTCAGCGTGTACAGCTACAGACAGACACCTCAGCGTGTACAGCTACAGACAGACACCTCAGCGTGTACAGCTACAGACAGACACCTCAGCATGTGCAGCTACAGACAGACACCTCAGCATGTACAGATACAGACAGACACCTCAGCATGTACAGCTACAGACAGACACCTCAGCATGTACAGCTACAGACAGACACCTCAGCGTGTACAGCTACAGACAGACACCTCAGCATGTGCAGCTACAGACAGACACCTCAGCATGTACAGATACAGACAGACACCTCAGCATGTACAGCTACAGACAGACACCTCAGCATGTACAGATACAGACAGACACCTCAGCATGTACAGCTACAGACAGACACCTCTGCGTGTACAGCTACAGACAGACACCTCAGCGTGTACAGATACAGACAGACACCTCAGCATGTACAGCTACAGACAGACACCTCAGCGTGTACAGATACAGACAGACACCTCAGCGTGTACAGCTACAGACAGACACCTCAGCATGTACAGATACAGACAGACACCTCAGCATGTACAGATACAGACAGACACCTCAGCATGTACAGATACAGACAGACACCTCAGCATGTACAGATACAGACAGACACCTCAGCGTGTACAGATACAGACAGACACCTCAGCGTGTACAGCTACAGACAGACACCTCAGCGTGTACAGATACAGACAGACACCTCAGCATGTGCAGCTACAGACAGACACCTCAGCATGTACAGATACAGACAGACACCTCAGCGTGTACAGCTACAGACAGACACCTCAGCATGTACAGCTACAGACAGACACCTCAGCATGTACAGATACAGACAGACACCTCAGCGTGTACAGCTACAGACAGACACCTCAGCATGTACAGCTACAGACAGACACCTCAGCATGTGCAGCTACAGACAGACACCTCAGCATGTACAGATACAGACAGACACCTCAGCATGTACAGCTACAGACAGACACCTCAGCGTGTACAGCTACAGACAGACACCTCAGCATGTGCAGCTACAGACAGACACCTCAGCATGTACAGATACAGACAGACACCTCAGCATGTGCAGCTACAGACAGACACCTCAGCATGTACAGATACAGACAGACACCTCAGCATGTACAGATACAGACAGACACCTCAGCATGTGCAGCTACAGACATACACCTCAGCATGTACAGATACAGACATACACCTCAGCGTGTACAGATACAGACAGACACCTCAGCATGTACAGATATAGACAGACACCTCAGCGTGTACAGATACAGACAGACACCTCAGCGTGTACAGATACAGACAGACACCTCAGCGTGTACAGCTACAGACAGACACCTCAGCGTGTACAGCTACAGACAGACACCTCAGCGTGTACAGCTACAGACAGACACCTCAGCGTGTACAGCTACAGACAGACACCTCAGCATGTGCAGCTACAGACAGACACCTCAGCATGTACAGATACAGACAGACACCTCAGCATGTACAGCTACAGACAGACACCTCAGCATGTACAGCTACAGACAGACACCTCAGCGTGTACAGCTACAGACAGACACCTCAGCATGTGCAGCTACAGACAGACACCTCAGCATGTACAGATACAGACAGACACCTCAGCATGTACAGCTACAGACAGACACCTCAGCATGTACAGATACAGACAGACACCTCAGCATGTACAGCTACAGACAGACACCTCAGCGTGTACAGCTACAGACAGACACCTCAGCGTGTACAGATACAGACAGACACCTCAGCATGTACAGCTACAGACAGACACCTCAGCGTGTACAGATACAGACAGACACCTCAGCGTGTACAGCTACAGACAGACACCTCAGCATGTACAGATACAGACAGACACCTCAGCATGTACAGATACAGACAGACACTTCAGCATGTACAGATACAGACAGACACCTCAGCATGTACAGATACAGACAGACACCTCAGCGTGTACAGATACAGACAGACACCTCAGCGTGTACAGCTACAGACAGACACCTCAGCGTGTACAAATACAGACAGACACCTCAGCATGTGCAGCTACAGACAGACACCTCAGCATGTACAGATACAGACAGACACCTCAGCGTGTACAGCTACAGACAGACACCTCAGCATGTACAGCTACAGACAGACACCTCAGCATGTACAGATACAGACAGACACCTCAGCGTGTACAGCTACAGACAGACACCTCAGCATGTACAGCTACAGACAGACACCTCAGCATGTGCAGCTACAGACAGACACCTCAGCATGTACAGATACAGACAGACACCTCAGCATGTACAGCTACAGACACCTCAGCGTGTACAGCTACAGACAGACACCTCAGCGTGTACAGCTACAGACAGATGCCTCTTAAGCCTTCACTGATCTTTTTGATGAAGTCTCAGACTAAATCTGTATGTAAGACGCGCGTTTAAAACGACCTGAATATAATAATGGAACCAGTTATA